TCAGCAAGTCTCACATTCTGGTTTAGTCTAGAAAATCAAAGGAAAATGATAAAGAAATTTCCTTTATGTTAATTTTCTTTCTTTGCAATCTACTCTGTAACCCTTGTTCCCTTGCCAGGCATATGAGTGCCTGTGTGCTTTATTAGTTATTTAGTTGAAAACTTTTTAGGAAATGTTTCTGTATTATTATTATTGCTAATGAACTGTATACTGAACAAAAGTTGGCCATCTATGGTCTTGTCGTCTGTTTTCAAGTTATATTGAAAAAGGATATAATCAGAAAGCTTAATGACAGATTATAAAAACAGCTTGGCTTCTTTTAGGAAGAACAGGTACTTCTGGGTGCTGAGCCCTTCAGAAAAATCTCTCTACAAAAGCAGGTCCCTAGATGAGAGCTGAACTCTTGAAAATCTATTCCTTCAGGCTTTCTTTCCATCTGTTGCTCTGCTGGAACAATAGTCCAAGGCTGGCCTAATCTGGGGGCTGCAGTAGGAGAAACTTTGCCTGCAATTGAATGCTATTCTTCCAAATGATTTCTAATAGGAGATTTATTCCATCTATTATGCATTATCTTATTTTGGGAAAATGCAGGGCCATTTAAAACACTGTAAGTTACTGTGATGTCCACAAGAAAAAGATTACTGTGTGTGGTAAAATATCCCTGCGGCCAGCGCTTGTCACGGTTGCTTAACGCTTAGGCTGTATTGAGCTGACGGGCTTAGAATTTCTATTCAGCATCCTTTGCCCAAAGCGGATGAGAATGACCCCTTTTGTCCTGTCTGTTATTATCAGGCGGCTTTGGAAAATGAGCACTGTTGAATGAAAAGAAAGCGGCAGATGACATTTTGTTTTCTGCATGAACTAGTGTATAGGTTCTTTGTTTTTCAGAAATGGTTTTGAAGAAGATGTGCTAATATTGCTGCTATTTTAGCAGTAGTTCTTTTGTTCAGGCCTGAATGTAGATTGTGGGAGTTGGGGTGTCCATTTATATTAGTGAGCTCTTTCCTTGTAAAATCCCATGGATACCTAAAATATGAATATGTATATTCTGAATAAGTCTGTTTTAATATTACTGTAACATTCCTTTCCTGGAGCATAATCTTATTTGTATAAAAAAGAGATGGCCGTATTTTCATAATAAGAAGTTCTGAAAATTTTTATCTGTGTGCTGAGATTACACATACTCTGAATAATTACGCTGAATAATTACAGTCAGGGACTCCCGTCTGTATTGAGCACAGTAGACATGCCCTTTGATTTAAGCTATGTGTCACCAAGCGTTAGGTCTGGAGATCCAATATTTCAAAATACAGCTATCACACATACAGGTCTGGAAATCTTCGGACTTTGGAGTGTCTTAGTTATCCTTGTCGCTGTTTTCCACAGCTGACCAGAATGCTTTTCTGCATTATTGATGTGCCAGTGAGACATGGAGGCTGCCAAACAAGTGACCTCATTGTTTCTGTAAACATGAGAATTGCGCTCACAAAATGGGTTAGGTTTGAAAGTGAGTGTCTTCTGCATATAGGGTTTTGTTGACATTTTCATGGGTGATTTGAGAATCATTTGAATGCCAGGAGTCTCAGCTGGATTTTCAAGTGTGCCAGCAGCCCGACTAGGTGGATTCATATACCCTAATTTTTGATGATCCAGTTTTGGTCCATGTCAGTTAGGAGGCTAATCTTTATCTACAGTCACTTATGGGCAGTTTGGCTCCTTTTGGACTCAGAGCAGAAGACGGTAGTGTTATTTGAGTCATTCTCACAGTGCTTCGTGTATAGAAGTCAATGAGCTCAACTGGGTAAACAGGTTCAGCTGAACAAAGGATACATAATCTTTAGGGCTGGTTTGGTTTTTGTTAATATTTTTAAAATTCACTAGAGTGATGTTCCAAGGTTCACTTGTTTCAGCAACAAAGAAATAGCAATGAGACATGAGTCATCTTCCGCCAGCTGGTTGCAGGTAGTTTCAAAATGTCAGATGCCAAGGTTGAGTGTGATATATGAAGAAGGTGCTAATGAAGTGCAGGGCTTGAGTACAGTAATACTTTGGGAGACTAAATGTTCCTTCATTTCTATCTTCCCAAAAGCCTCTGCATCCCTGCACCAGCTTACTGCTCCCTGGCACATCATGATCATTGAATTAACTATCCTTGCAGCTTCTCCTCTGCATGCCTACCAGCATGTGGCTTCACGATCAGCTCAGTTCCAGCTAAGTCCCTGGTCCCCTGCTTCTGGGGAGGTAGCAGGAATATATAGATAGGGGATGAGTGAGCAGGCAGACACACACTCAGGCCAGCTGAAGCTGATTGTGAAACCAGAACCTCAGACAGGCTCCGAAACTTCTTACACACCCGTTCTCATCCATTAACCTCTGCTCAGCAGTGCACAGCCTGGGCTGGCACAGCTAAATACAGAACCGTGGGAATCCTGTTTCCCAGTTAGAGACTGACCTCAACAGAGTCCCTGTATGGATATGCTGGGATTACTTGGCAGTCCAACTGTGGCTTCCTTAGAAGGGCAGTGAGGGGAAACAACTTGAAGGCAGAGAAACAACTTCTTCATGTTCCTACTGGTAGCAGTCAAGCCCTGTGGGTTTGGCCCCGTGCCCTGTAACTGCCTATGGAGTCCCCTGGCAAAACAGAAAGTGAGCCAGTGTAAGTGAGCTGGTTTGATGGCTAGACTAAACAGAGGGTTATTACCAGGACCTTTCAGTTCAATTAATTTTGTTTTACGTGCTGTTTTTTATGACACTCTTTATGGTTCCCTTCCCTTTCTTCGGTATTTCCCACCATTCTGGTACTCTCTGCTGCAAATACTTTAGCTAACTATTAGTAAACTCCTTGTTAACTTCACTGGGGTGGAGACCTGTTGCTTGGAAATATATTGGCTCATGTATATAAGTACCTGTGGCATAACAGGCTCTTATGCATCGGGAGAGCTGTTGTAACTCTCTGAATGGACAAAGGATCTTGTCAAAGACCTTTTGGCATTCTGTAGATTGGCAAATCCTCATCTATATTGTCATTCACTTCTCAAAGAATACTTTGCAAGGCATGAGTTATGCAAATAAAGGTTGCTCCTTCCCCAGTAGATTGGATTTATTTGTGTCTACTAATTCTATTTTTAATCAATTTGTCAGCTCTGAAAGACTCCGTCGTACTGTTCTTCTGTTTTTGTTGTTAAATATAATGGCTCTCATTTTTTACTTTTTCCTTTAATACTTAGGTTCATTTGAGTGATAGATTTCTTACCACAGTTAATAAAGCAATGAATTTGATTTTGTGTAGAATCCTGTAGAAAAGAAGGTTTGTATCATAAATAGTTCAGCAAATCAGTCGCTGACAACTGCTGATACCTTTAGTATATTGAATAGGGTGTATTTCCAAATAAGGCTGTATTTAAGTTCTGCATGGGGCTTGCTCTTAGGCCTTTAAAGTGCAGCATTTCCCATTGCTAAGAGACGAAGTGGTGGTAGCAAGGTAATATCAACCATGAGTTCTATTTTGGTGATAATGAACTTGTGAAAGTAACTGAAAGTAACTGGGCTCCACTCTTTTGTGTGCAGCTGTAACTGGAAGCGGATTTTACAAGATTCTTTAATGTAGTTGGAATGTATGTGTAATCTTTTGACCTCGTTCTTAGTTTTTGATGACTATGGCATGTTAAGTGCTGATAATTGGGTTTGCTCTAGGCTGAAACCCGACCTGCTCTCTGCAAAGGGGAAAATCAGATCTTCTATTGTAAGAGGCGCTCAAAGGGGCTACCTTGGAAATTGCAAGGCCATGAGTGCAAAGAGTAAGGATCTCTGAAATACAGCAATTTTTTAGGAAGGACATGCTGTCCAAAGGAATGCTTCTCTTTCGGCTTAGTTTGAATTGGACTTTTCATCCAAAGGTTTTTTCTTGTTCCCTAAATTTTCTTTTTTATGCCATCAGGTTTGCCTCATAACTCAAGCTGCCCTACTGTGAAAGCTGCCTTGTAGCTTCAGCTAGTGGAACGTGACTCCTAGGTATAAGAGCATGAGGCACAAGCTTTTCACTGTTCTTGGAAGGGGATTCAGCTCTCCTTGTTTAAGCCATGTGCAAATGAGGCCTCTAATCCAAATTAGTTTTTAGCTTCCTTCTCCAGCCAGGGGGAGAGGAGGAGATCTTCAGAGATTTATTGCATCCAAATATCAGTGTTCAAAATAGATGGGATTAATTGTCCTGTGGAGATGTCTGTCTCTTTCCACTGAGTTGAGAAGAAGCCTAAAAATTAACTTTGTCTCACTGTCAAATTTTTAGAAGTCTAAATTTAGAGGAAGTTAATCCTGTCCTCGGTTTGAGAAAGTACTGAGTGACATTTGTAAATTCTGCAAATAGCAGTCTGTCCAACCAAGTATCTTCCAGTCCCTGCTTGCTTCAAGTTAAAGGTGATGTAGTCTTCATATCATGCCTCCTCTGAGGAGGCTGAGGGGAGTGTCTAACACGTTTTTGAAAGGAGTATGCAGCAGTTAAAAACAGTAGCAAGCACTGACAAGGAAATGGAGCCAAAGAGATTTTTAAAAACCTGTCCAAAGGGATCAGTGCGACGGTCCAACCTGTACTTTGTTTTTCAAGCCATCCCTTTGGCTCCATCCCCCTGTCTATGACAGTGTTGCTGGAACTGCTCTTCTTTCTTATTTTAAGCTTTCTGTGTGGGAGGAGTAAAACTGCTTAAAACAAATGTGATTGAGTGGTAGTTTGCACAGTACGGCATTGTTAGCCCTGCTCTTCCAGTTCCCATTGGGTTCCTTGATAGTTCTTAAGAATACAAAACATGAGTACAGGTAGAGTATGTCAGACCAACAGTCTGTCCAGCTCAATATCCTGTTCCTTCCAGCGACTAACAAATGCCTGTGTACCTTTCTCTAATCCTTTCCCAGCCTCCATCTATTTTCAGCTTATGAGACTTTCTAGCCATAAATCTTTCTTGTTAAATGAAGAATTGCAGCTGACTTTCTTGTCTCTTATGTTTTAGAACTAAAAAAACAAAGAAGGCATCTGCTCCTCCAACCAAGGAAGAGAAGCCCAAATTAACCATTTTTGAAGAGGAAGTAGATCCAGATGAAGGAGTCTTTGGCCCAGAAAAAAATTTCTCATCAATTGGTCCCAGGAAGAAGATGAAAGAGAGTAAATCTGTTCTATATTTGTATATACACAGATTGTTTTATCTAAAGCATGTGTATAACTGAGCTTTTAAAATGTAGTGATGCAGAGTATACAGGCTAAATAATGACTTGGGAATGTTAAGGCAAATCTTCAGCTGGGGCAGAATCATCTAGAATCATTCAGAAAAAATAAATAAGACCTGTAGTTCCCGTAGCTGTTCACTGTTGACATTTTGGGCTGGGATCTTACAGGTCTGTGGGAGTTGCCTGTCCCACAGTCACTCATGCCACACTAACATGAGCAATGTGACCTACTTTTGAGTGCAAGAAGAAAGCAGATTTACCAAGTCCTGAGTGCAGAGTATCACTGCACTTTGTGGATTGGAAGTCCTTGTAAAAAAAGAATTGCCTACATGATCTTTTTTTTTCAGCCCGGTAGCCAGATTTACTAGCTAGTGTTAATGCAGGTATTGCGTTATGTAGCATGACTTAACTACAGCATTTTCTGGTTCCCCTTTCTAGATCTGAAATTATTTGAAGATCCAGACCTTGGTGGGGTGGTAAGACTGGGTGACTCACTACTGCTGCCAGCTGCCTGTAAGAACAGGGAGTATGTGCTGAACACAGGTCCTGAGGAGGACACTGAGAAACTGCTGAGGTACACATCTCAAATCTGTCATGTAGGATGAAGGTGATCTGCAGAGTTATTTAGACCTCAAAAGAGATGAATTTGAGGGCAAAGCTTAAATACTTTGAATGCTAACTGTGAGTCAATATTTGTACTTACAAGTAAAAGGTAAGATATGTATCATGGAGCTTGGAAATCAAACACATTAAAAAGGAAATTAGGAAGACCCTTTGAGAAAGGTAGGGTGCAAGTTATTATTCTGTGACAGGTCTTGAAGGCCCAAGGCATGCCGTCTAGTCCTTGTTTTCTAACATGACACTTTCGCTTTTTGCAAGTGATCCACAGGTGTGAAAACTGACCTCCATTTTGAAAAGTGAGAAACAAAGCCCAGAAACAAAGGCGAATTCAGCTTCAGTGAGCTGAAATCAGGGACTCTTGCCACAAGAGGAATGATTTTCTGCTGGTGGCTCACAGAGCTCCATGCACACTTCCAGGAGGAATCCTCTGCACACCTCCACAGCTCATTAAAATCTCTATCACCCTGCATTTAATTTTTAATCTAGTGGAAAGGAGGGCCGGAGCTCAGAGTTACAGGAGGGAATAATGTACTTGCTCTTACACTTACCTGCCGCCTTGATAGTCTAGCGCTGGAACATATTGTCACATAATGTGTTTTATTCCTGACATCTCTCTCACAAGGCTAGATTGCATGCACTGATAATCCTCAAGAGATCAAGCAAGGAGCCAGTGCTCGGAGACTCATCACCAGGGAATCTGTGCTGCAGTAAAGAGTCAAATTCATGACTTCTGGATCTCAGGCTGGCATCTGAATGATGAGGCCAACCTGCTTCCAGTGCTAATTCTTGCCAGCCAGCTCCTGTTAGGATGTATGATTTCCACAGCAGGTACTAAACCCAGGAGAGAGAATCTGTGTGTGGTTTCAAACCTCTCCTGACGCAGGTAGTTTTGCAGCTATTGCTTTCTACGCATGCAAAAGTGCTAGCTATCTCAGCTGTAATACCTGACTTAATTTAAACAAAAGTTAAATTGGGTTGGGTGCCATCTCTCATTACATCCTGACAGCCCACCTGATGTTTATAGAAGCTGATGGGGCAGGGCATGACCTGATTTAGTGCTGTGGTATATTGGGAGTAAACACTTATGTGCTTGCAATATTTTCGTGTTTGCTTTCTCCTCTGCTAGCAATCTCAGCATTCAGCGCTTGATCCAGATTGTTCATACGGCTAGAAGAGAAGTGCCTGTTTTAATGCAGTCCTTGCATTATTATCCACTACTGCAGAGGGCTTCTCCATCTGTCATGTTAATGTCCTTTGGATTATATGTTTTCTCTTCCTCTGTGGCAGTGAAAGGTCTCTGAAGTCTGCTCCAAGACCAATAGACCATGCTTTTAGATCAGTTTGGGGTCATCAATGTTAGCAGCACACCCAGATGGCTATGGAAACCCATGGGAAAAGATTCCATTTCTTTTAAATTCCAGTAGTTTTCATTTATTGTTGAATTGTCCCAGTGCTTTCAGTAGTTGACAAGTTATCAAGATCCAATTGGAAATGAATACACATAATGAAGCAGAAAATCATGCCAGTGGTCCAATAGTTGCTACGGGAATCCAGAGGCAACTCCTGGCTATGCAAAAGGTATAGGCAGATAGGTCAGGATCTGTTGACCTGTTCAGGTGCCTAACACCCTCTGAAATCCCCCTGATAAACCTAATTCACAGTGTTATCTGCACATCATAGAGAGCTGGTGGACTGAATGCAAGGCGATTGGAGGTAAAGGAGAAGCTGTTAAAGGGGGGAAGATGAGTGGCAGTGCTCTTTTAACCTGTGCTCTTTTAACCTTCACCTCGCCTCTCTGTAAATTCATTGCAGTCACCTGAAGTCCTGTAGCTGAACTTTCTCAGGTGGTTATGCACAATGCATTTTGTTTTCTGTTCAGCTGAAAGCCTTAGCAGAACTGTCAGGTCTCATAAATGTAGAGGCAGCATTTGAATCATCTCCTACCTTCCCTTACCACCAGACTGGTGTTACAGAGTTCAACATGAGCTGAACCCTGCAATCTCTCTGGCATGGGGGCTTGAGCATATTTTGAGGCCTAGGAATAAATCTTGCCTTTGCCCTGTAGATGTTGACAATCCCTCTCCCTTCCCAAAGGGGACTGAAGAAATCTCTCTCCAGCCCTCAGATCAAAGTAGGAGCTGTGACAACCCATTCCTTTGGTGGGCTAGAGCTGGCTAAGCTACTAGAAGAAAACTGGCAAACGTCTTGGTCTGTTGGACATACTCTGTTATACCATATAGAAAATTTGCCTGGACATATTTTGTCAAGACCTAAGACCAGCCTGAGCTATGATGCACCAGCAGGTCTGTGGTAGGTGCAGAAACCTCGACATGTTCACTGTACACAGATGGATTAGCTGAATGATGCAGATGTGGTAGCTCTTGACTTATGTAGTGTACATTTGCATGTACCACATGGTCTGCTCACATGTGGTACATGTGGTACCACATGTCACAGATCCGACAAGTGTCTGACTTACTGGAAAATGTACTTTCCAGTGAACCATGAGCAGAGACAGGAGAGCGCTGCCTAAGGCAGAACCTTCTTCTTCCAAAGGGGAGATGGGAAAAAGATGATGTTCGGAGCAGAACACAGGAGCAACCAAGTCCTTTGTGATCTTTATGGTACCTGAGTGGTTGTAGCAGCGGTAGCACCACAGTGCTGTCAGCACAGCAGTGAATCCCCAGCAGTGACTTGTAACTCTTGAGGAAGAGGCTGTTACGGAGACAAATGAATCTGCAAAATGTGCGTGGGCTGTGCTTGTCACAACATGAGGGAGAAGAGAATATGATAAACGTTCTCATTGCAAACTGAAGACTGTGCTCTCTGTGGATACCTGCTCAAATGAAGTGAGAATTACTAGTTTAAATAGAATCACCTACTTTACATTAACAAGTGTTGAGCTTTGAGAAGAACCAATTGCTTTGTAAGTGTAATGAAAGATGTCTTTTTATGGCAAAATACCCATGTCCATTCAAACAAATGTCTTCCCTCTTCCCATCCATTGACTAGCCTTTTACTGGTTACTAATTTCTTGGCTTACCAACCAATATTAAGTGATGGTGATGAAGAAACTAGGTGAGCTACCTCACTCTAACCACTGGCATTGTAGATGCAGGTACTCTTTTGTACCACTAGGTCTGCCATAATACATCGGTGAGGTGCCTGTTGAGCACTGTACTTGCATGTCCTTCCAGAACTTGTGGAAAAGAGATAAATTGCTGTGGTAGGAACCAGCAAGGTCAAGTCTCACCATGTTGCCTTCAGGAAAAAAGGAGCACGTCATACTCTTCCTTCATGGGATGTGCTTTGAGAAAGGGAGGGATAGGTAACCAAGTCTTTTCGGCTTATCTCTTCACCACAGGGATATGGAGGAACCCAGGCTTTTCCGAGAAGTCCTGGGTCCCATTGCTTTTGACTCTTCCAAGGTGCAAGGTCACCAGCTGCAGTGAGATGAAACGGTAGCTGATCAACCCTTTCCGAGTTGTTAAAAGAATTATCCTTGGGAATGGATTTAGGACCAGGCTTCTCTTTTCTCCTGTCATTTTCCTGGGTCATATCATACCATATAAAGATTCTTTCTGGATGCATTCAGCCATTTACCTCCACTCTCGAAGCTCCACTTCAGGTCTGATTTCCATTTAAGCTAGAGACAGAAGTCAACTTCGGCAGAAATCAGTATCCTGCAAACTCTTCCATCATGGATTCTCATGCCATCTTATGTTCTCATCTCCGTCCACCCAGTGGCCACAGATGTGCAAATTAAGTTTTCATGCAGCAGGACTGCAGTCAACCTCTTCTGCCTCATAAATATAAATTGTGCCTGCCTGGTGTGATAGATCAGGTTTTTGTGGAAAACCAATGCTAGAATTGATTCTGTGAATGCTGCAGCAGCTCTGTGGGCCCACAGAATTACATAAATTATCACACATCCTAGCCTGAAATAATTATCGCAGTTGTCTGAGCAGCTTTTTAGGAGAGATTTAATTAACTTCACCTTTGATAATGAATAGGGAGTTGAACTGGAAGGAAGCAGCTGTCAGCATAAGATTTGTCTTTTTCCAGTGCTGAGAACAGTGTCAGCAGTGGGATCCCAGTTCTGCTGCCCTGTGATGACAGACCTGGTGTATTCTTTCTGAGGATTACGCTGATCTAAGGCTACTGGTATTGAAAGGGACAGTCCAGCTCTTACCTTTGTGCTACAGCTGCATCATCCTGCCTGTGCCCTTAGAAGATGAATTTTACAAGTTGATCTGTACAGCTGCAAGCTGTGCCGTCAGTGATACAAGTGATGACCCTTTGAGGAGTATTGCATTGTTAGAGGCTGAAGCTGTTTGTGAAACCACATCCTAACAATGGCCATTTACAGACACCATTAAGTGCATACAGCTTGAGCAGGTTTGTTAGCTTCAGGTTTGCCAAGGAACTGTTGCCACCCTTGCAGCAGAAAAAGTTTGTATGTTCTTCATTCAGCAGGCCATTAGCAGCTGCTGAATTCAGAGTGCAGCCCTTATATTTTCCGACTAGCCAGCAGTCATATGGGACACCACCTCCAGCACCATGTGATGAGAAAAGCTTTCTTGCTGTCCGAAGGATACAAGAGCAGCACCATGGGTGGGAGAAGAGCTTTGAGAAACTCCAGAGGGTTTAAATCTGGATCCTTTGGGCAGAGAGTTTTTTGGGTGATGGGCAGGTGGAAGAAGAGATTGCAACAACTGAGTCAGAAATTTCCTGACCACTCTAGGGCAGTTTCCCTTGCTTGTTGTGACCTGACTGTGGGGAAAGAACCTTGATTTGGCTGCAGTAGCCTTCAGTGAACAAATAAACAGCTGTTCTTCTTTTCTATACCAGTTCTTCGTGGGGTTTTTTGCTGCCCAAGAGCACTTTCCATGATGGTTTTCAAACATTTCTGTTGTTCTTATTATTTTTCCTGTGATGTATAGGAATGCTACT